CCTCCTCTTTTTTATGAAGAGAATGAATCTTTTTATCGAAGGATCAGAAAAAAAAATTGGTCTAGATCTACTGCGGGAATGATTTGGAAGATCTAAGACTAAAACCAGTGATATTTGCTAGCAACAACATAATGGAGGCAGTCAATCAATATAGATTGATCCGAAATCTGATTCAAATCACAATTTATTGCATGCAAGAAACTGCATATACCAATTGTGTCACCAAGCTATTCATGAAAGAAGATGTTAGATTGCATGGTGAACCAACCATTATTTTTTTATAGGGTTGACAAATTCACAAGTTATTCTTGGACAAATTATACGAAAAATTTTTTGAATTCAATGTTATAGTTTGCTTCAGCATATCAGCATCAAATTGATGGACACACTAAGATCGTAAATGGGAGTCCAAGTAACCATTCTTGATGATCATGTGTTCATTTTGGACATATTAGTCCAATTATCTGAGTTTTTTATATGAATTTTATTGACAAATCCAGATAATCTTCATTAATTCCTTTTGAGATAGATACCAACATCGAAAACCGATTAATCTGATTTTTATTCCTCTAAAAGCTAGACTTATAGAACCTACTAAGTTCAAACACACTTGCACTAATTCACACCCTTACTGTCATTACCAATCCCCACAATTATATATTATCCCATCACTCGTTAGGTTGTGTTGTATCACTCGATCAAGCATCGTACAACATGAGAGAATTTTATCATGCTTTGGAGCACTATGGAGATTGAGTTTGATCCCGGTGTGAGTCCCTCTCATGGAACCCATAAAACTTAAAAATGGTGTCGAGGTCTCCTAGCAACTCTCATCCAACGCTCAAGTTATCGTGACTGAGTGAGGTGCATGACTTTTTATGAAACAAAAGGAAAAATACTTCTTACTTCCATTGTTTCTCTCTCTCTCTCTCTCTCTCTCTCTCTCTCTCTCTCTTATGAAACAAAAGGAAAACTATTTCTTACTTCCATTGTTTCTCTCTCTCTCTCT